GCCCAAAAAATAAAGTTTCTCACCCTGAAGGGACGAGACCGCTGTCCGGAAGGACCAGACCGCCGTCTCGTCTCAACGCCAGGACGAGACCGCCGTCTCGATTGTCCAGACGCCGGTCTCGTCACCTGTAAAAGTCGAGACGGCGGTCTGGGTTTCCCAGACGGCGGTCTCGATTCCTGCCCAGTCGAGACGGCGGTCTGGATTATCCAGACGGCGGTCTCGACCCTCTGTCATGAACGAGACGGCGGTCTGGATTTTCCAGACGGCGGTCTCGACCCTGTCAGAGGAGACGGCGGTCTCGACCTGTCAGGCGCGAAAAACTATAAATAGGGGCGTCATTTCTCCCTTTTTCACACAGAAACAACATAACTCTCCCTTCTCTCTAGACTTTCTCTCTCTAAGAATCCCTCCGAGGCATTTCCGGAGTTTCTGAGTGTCTCTAGGCATAAACTGAGCGTTCTAAATCTTCTTTAAAATCCCTCCGAGGCATTTCCGGAGTTTCTAAGAGTTGTAGAGTGAAGGGTTGCCAAAACGCACCCTCTCTTTAAAGAAATATAAAAGCTTGCTTTAGAGGTGCATATTCTCCCTCTCTATTTTTTTTATTGCCGTTTAAATTACGCAATAGGAGCTAGGGCCATGTAGTCATAAACTTAAATTCCGCATAATAAAAGGGTAAAAGCGCAATTTTTCAGTTTAATTATTTATTCAAAGTAGCCGGCCTATCATAGGGAACCCGAAAGGGGCGTCGTAAAGGAACTAACACTTCCTTTACACGTAACTAACTCCCTTACCCAACTCTGGTTCTAATGACCAAAGTTGGTTTTCGAAAACCAACGCCTTTTTAAAACCCCTTTTCCGATGTTTATGGTAAAAATATCGGTGGCGACTCCATAGAACCCAAATTAAATAAGTCCCTGGGTTAGCCCGGTTATCGGACAACCCAGGGATACTTTCGAAAACCTCGCCCCTAGGTTAGCCCGGTTATCGGACAACCTAAAGGCGTTGTAACCACCAATAAAAAACGCAAAAATCAAGAGGGTAAAAAAAAACATCGCGTCGCTCCGACCGCCCCCTTTGGGGAGGCGGCGACAGTCCCTAAATGTTCTATGGAAATCTGTCCACTCTGTACTCTTTCCTTAACAACTAGGAACTTAATGTCGATGTGTTTTGACTTAGTCGAACTTCTGTTGTTGTTGGAATACAATACAGCTGATTTGTTGTCACAATATAACTTAAGTGGTCTTTTAATGCCTTTCACAATTTGCAGCCCTGTGACAAAATTTCTCACCCATATTCCATGATTCGACGCCTCATAGCATGCTACAAATTCTACTGCCATAGTGGATGAAGCTGTAAGGGTTTTCTTGACACTGCGCCAAGAAACCGCACCACCTGCTAACATGAAAATGTAACCTGAAGTGGATTTCAAACTATCTTGACATCCTGCAAAGTCCGAGTCAGAAAACCCAGCGATCTCCAACTGGTCTGACCTCCTGTATGTGCGCATGTAATCTTTTGTTCTCTTTAAATATCTCATGACCCTTTTTGCTGCTTTCCAATGGTCCATTCCTGGATTGCTTAAATATCTGCCTAGAACCCCAACTATGTATGCTATGTCTGGACGCGTACATACTTGAGCGTACATCAAACTCCCTACAGCTGATGCATAGGGAATCTTTTGCATTTCCTCAATTTCCAAATTTCCCTTTGGGCACTGATTGAGACTAAACTTGTCTCCCTTAGCAACTGGAGTATCCCCGAATTTACATTCATGCATGCCAAACCTTTTAAGAATTGTTTTGATATAGCTCCTTTGTGATAATCCCAAAATACCCCGACATCGATCTTGGTGTATCTGAATTCCTAATACAAAAGACGCATCACCAAGATCTTTCATTTCGAAATTCTTTGATAAAAATTTCTTGGTTTCGTGTAATATGCCTATATCATTAGTGGCAAGTAGAATGTCATCAACATACAAGATCAGGAAAATATACTTACTCCCCTTAAACTTGTGATATACACAATCATCAACAATATTCATCTCGAAGCCAAATGAGAGAATTACTTGATGAAATTTATAGTACCATTGACGAGATGCTTGCTTTAGTCCATAAATGGATTTTGTCAGTTTGCAAACCATATTCTTTGAATCTCCCTGCACAAAATTTTCTGGTTGTACCATATAAATCGTCTCATCAATGTTGCCATTGAGAAACGCCGTCTTGACATCCATTTGATGAAGCTCCAAATCATAATGTGCTACAAGAGCCATGATTGTCCTAAAAGAGTCTTTCGATGAAACTGGAGAGAAAGTCTCTTTAAAGTCAATCCCTTCCTTTTGGGTATATCCCTTAGCTACCAGACGAGCCTTATACCTTTCCACATTACCTTTAGAATCCCGTTTGGTCTTAAATATCCACTTGCAACCAGTGGGTCTCATACCTTCTGGTAATGGGACAAGTTCCCAAACCTTGTTGTCTTGCATGGACTTATACTCCTCCTTCATTGCTTCAATCCACTTTTTAGAGTTAGAACCTTGCATGGCTTGACGAAAGTTAACTGGGTCATCTTCCATCATACCATTGTTTTTCTCATGTTCCTGAAGAAATACCATGTAATCATCCGAAATAGCACTTCTTATTTCTCTAGTGGATCTCCACAAAGTTATTGGCTCATGATGCACAGGTTCTTGAGGATCTTGAGTTTGTTCTTCATGAACAACCAAATCATCTTGAGTAAGGGGTTCATTAACAATGCCTTGTGGAGGTTCTGAACTTACTTTATCAAAAGTAACTGTTTGAATCGGTTCTGGAATTGTTACCGATTCTTCCTCCAAGACAAAGTTCTTGATTTTATTCTCCCCCCCAAACTCAATATCCTCAGAGAACGTAGCAGTTCCCGTCTCAAAAATTGTCTTTAATGTGGGATCATAAAATTTATATCCCCTGGATCTTTCAGCATAACCAATAAAATAACTACTTATTGTTCGTGAGTCCAATTTCTTTTCATTTGGCTTATAAGGCCTTGCCTCAGATGGACAACCCCACACATGGAAATGCTTCAAACTAGGCTGTCGCCTAGTCCAAAGCTCATAAGGTGTTTTGGTCGCTGCTTTAGTTGGTACTCTGTTCAGAATATAAGGTGCCGTCTTTAGTGCCTCTCCCCAGAGTGACTCTGGTAAGGTGGAATGACAAATCATACTCCTGACCATATCTTTAAGAGTTTGATTTCGTCTTTCAGCTACACCATTCATGCTAGGTGATCCCAGCATGGTATACTGTGGGACAATTCCACACTCCTCTAGGTACCTGACAAAAGGTCCTGGACGCTGTTCACCTGACCCGTCAAATCTGCCATAGTACTCACCACCACGATCAGATCTGACAAACTTAATTCTTTTATTGAGTTGATTTTCAACTTCAGCTTTAAATGTTTTGAATACGTCTAGAGATTGTGACTTTTCATGTATAAGGAATAAGTATGCATATCGTGAGTAATCGTCTATGAATGATATAAAGTATTGTTGACCATTCCACGAAGGTGTAGGAAATGGCCCACAAATGTCCGTATGTATCAACTCTAAGACGTTTGTAGCTCTATATGCACCTAATCTCTTCGCTTTGGTCTGTTTGCCCTTAATGCATTCAACACAAACATCAAAGTTTGTGAAGTCAATGGACTCTAAGATTCCATTTAACACAAGTCGTTCAACTCTATTTTTAGAGATGTGACCTAAGCGCCTGTGCCATAATGCTCCTGAGTGAGTATCATCAATTTTACGTTTAGTACCCCGTGATTCTGTATTAAGGGTTTCATTATAGGTGGTCACATTATCAAGTAAATACAGATTATCATAAGGCAAAAGTGAACCAGTTCCAATAATATCTGAATTAAAAGACAAACTGAACTTATTGTTTCCAAATGAACACAAATAACCTAATTTGTCCAGATAAGAAACTGAAACCAAATTCCGTCTAAATGACGGCACAACAAAAGTGTCTTTCAAATCCAAATAAAAACCAGTACTCAATAACAATTTAAAATGCCCTATGGCTTCCACCTCTACCGATTTGTCATCTCCAACATATATTCATCTTTCAGAATCAATTGGCTTCCGGTAGCTTAAGCAACCCTTCATAGAAACACTGATGTTAGTAGTTGCACCTGAGTCTAACCACCAAGTGTTACTAGGTACTGACGCTAAATTGACTTAAGAACAGACCAAAATAGGAAACATACTTTTGAGGATCGGAACATAATTTAAATTGGCAGATATAGAAACAATTGTAGCTAAATTAAAAACAAGAGAAATAAATTAATTATGCTCACATTATAAAAATAAATAATTATAAATAAAATATATATTCAAATAATGGTTTAACTCATCTCAAGACACCCAATGCACCATTAATATCAAGTCTTTGGACAGTAATATTAACTACTAGAGATATCTTGTTGTAATAATCAAACATTGACAATAAAGCACGTCCAACAACAAACCAGTCTTTAGATTGATTTATCATCGACAAAGCAAATCCTTATAATTATCACATGTTTATCATTACAAGTGTATATGCAATTCGGCCAAATATTAATCTTCCTTTGGGCCGACTAATACTCACATGAATATACACAAACACTAACATTTAATATTTTTCACGAACTACCCAATTCAAGAGATGTTACTTTGGTAACTTCTTGACTCAATTTGCTCACAAAAATATTAAACTACCAAACAAATTGAATATATTAATAAGGGTAACCCTAAACCAAATTAAGTCTCAAGGGCCACTTCTAAAAAAAAAAAATTGTACTATAATGCCATGTATGATGGCTTTTTAATTAAGGCAGCGGGTCCCACGTTTTCTTAGGTCCCCCATGTAATTGGCAACCACGGCACCAAGCGCATAAACGCCTCCACTACCGCATAAAAAGGTCACGTGTCTGAGGGAGACACGTGCAGCGGTAACACACGTGTCAATGATATCTCTGCATAACTACAAGTCGTTCCGGCAACCGGTAACCTGGTACGACCGCAAACAAGTGAAGGCAGTGCCTAACAGTCTGGCGTACACCGTGGGATCAACCACCTGGTCTCTCCGGTTCCAAGTTTCCTCTACAACCTTTTCCTTGAGGGGAATTGCTGCTCTCAAGAATGTTTCAGTGGGGAGGGAAAGGTTTGCAGGCGTCAGATTCATGCTTTCGGTAATCAAATCGGAGGGCTCGCGTTTGCCCTTGTCGCGTCCACCTTCGACCACCGATGATGTCATTGTCTGAATTAGCCAGTGAGAGGACCTTTCAAAACCCTAGAACCGGGGTTAATGGATAAGAGTTTGGAAGAATTGGGAGTCGATAGCTCCATCTCCGACTCCGACTCCGACTCCGAAGGATTCTTGAAAAATCAAACCCTCTCTCACTCCGCGTTCCGCTTCACGAATCGTGGCGTCTTCTTTGTCCACAACTTATTATTCTTTATCTCTCTTTCTCGATTTGGGAATTTACCCCAAATTTCAAACTAGGTTTAAAATTTGAGAATTTATCCTCAAATTAAATTTAGGATTTATAAAAATGGGAGATTATTCTCCACTTAGGGTTCTGATTGAATAGAATCTTTGATAAATGTAATTTCCAAAGACAAACATGAATCAAGTATGAGTTGCTCTGATACCAATTGTTAGGTAAACTTATAATTAAATATGATCTTCAATCTAACGATCAAATATAAAATAATCTTATACTGTAAACATGTTATAAACTAAATGCAAAAGCGTACCTGAATTAGCCATAATGATGATGTCCCTTTTAGAGCACTATTGATCTTATGGTCTTCCACCTGAAGAACACCTGTATTTTCCCTCTTGATTTTCTCTCTTGATGGGGATAGAAAGAAAAGAACGGGACTGTAACTACGTTCTGTCTACGTGCTCCCAGAAGGGGACCATGACCCCTTAAAATAACCAAAATTAGGTTAATTACTTAAGTTTTAGTATTTCCAATTTGGCCCCTCATCAAATTAGAAATTGCTCTATGGTCTCTACACAATTTTATTTTCATGACATATGCCTTTAGCCAAACCTTTTAATTTAGTCAGATCACTTTATTATTTGGCTTAATAAATAATGACTCTAACACATTTAAATATGTATCATATATATACATTACCCAAATTTTGCCAACATTATTATCTTTCTACTCATCATATGTATATAACAACATATATGATTTTCTATGAAAACATAATGTATTTTGCTTAAGTCTTATTTTCAAGGAGAGAAACGATAAGAAATCCAAAAAATATAAACTTTAAAATATAAAATGGATCTAAGTGATGCAATTTCATATCACCACCCTTTATAAGATGAAGAAGAAATTGTCATTGAAGATTTACAAAATCTATATTATCATTTGAATATAAAAAACGTTTGAAATGAAAGATCTTGATCCCTTAAAATATTTTTTAGTGATTAGGGTATTTATATCAAATAAAATAATTTTGTTTGTATTGAATTATTGGTAAACGTACCAAAATTATCAATCGCAATATAGTATTTCGATTAAAAAAAATTCGACCCCACGAGGAATGATTTAAATAGAAAATTTCAATTATATACTTACTAAGTAGATTAAAATAAATTAAGTTTTATTTAATCAAAATATTATACTGCGATTGATAAATTTGGTACGGTTGTCAATAATTCAACAAATATTTCTAAACAACTTTACCAAAGGAACAACATTTTTTGATAGACTTGATTAGTAGGAGATGGATTAGCCAACAAAGAACAACTAAAGCAACCCAAAGAAACATTATTTATTCCATATTCTTTACTTTAAAAACTAGCAAAATGATATGACGTTCGTCTCTTTCAAGTTTCAAATCTGACCAATTTTTTTTAATAGAAGTATGAAAACAGAATTAAAAATTAAAAGTGGGGACAAACACCAACTAATCGTCAACTTTTTTGTGTTTTGAAGTTGAAAATAAAAATGTATCTTTTACCACGTGTGTCAAACTCTTATTTCACATGCCAAATTAAGAATGTTCGTGGAACCACCTGTTAGTAGCAAATCGAGAAACACAATCGGAATCGAAGGGAAAAGAAATATGACTCGATAAGATAAACAAATATTCATTCGATGTCCAAATTGAAACACGTAGCATATAACATCGAGAAGCACAATCGAGAAATGAACGGCTGTTGCCAAATAAAGACTAAGTCATAGTGTGGAATCGAGAAGTCTGATCGAGAAATGAATCGAAAGGGAACTTTCCTGATGTCAGATTATAAAGAACGTGACACATAAAATCGAAAGGTAAAATTGGAAGAGTAGGCGTAATAGTCGAAAAGCTTAACATGGAGTTAAGGTTAAAATAAATCGATACCAGGTATGCAAAGTTCTCGATTAAATCAAAGGGAAGGCTCGTTTTCGTAGATATCATAACCTTGGCTAAACCTTGAAAGAAAGTAGTCAAAACGCACGTCTTGAAGCGGTTTCTAAGTGATGGAAAAGTTGAAGATCGTGAGAACATGGGAAAAGCTGTAAAAGAAAGCTGTCATACGCACGAAGAACGTGGTAGCGGTCTCGTTAAGCTGCTCTTAGAAGGCTTGAACAACGCCACTATAAATAGAACAAAGAAAGGAGAAACGAGGGAGCGGAAATTGGCGGAGAACGAGAATCGGTAGTGAAAAGTCTACGGAGAAACGACGAACACCATGAAGCTTACGGCAATCTGGATTTCCATGCTCACGGAGTACATTTATCGCTTTCTTTATTTTCCTTGGTAATTTACTTTCGAGCCATTCCAATTCGGCAATTTCATATTCTTGTATATTTCATTCAATGTCATTTCGATTTCTGTTATTTACTTTACGTGCAATTTTAATGGGTTTTAGCAATTTACATTTTCGCACATTTCGATTTCTGTTATTTACTTTATGTGCAATTTTAATGGGTTTTAGCAATTTACATTTTCGCACATTTCGATTTCTGTTATTTACTTTACGTGCAATTTTAATGGGTTTTAGCAATTTACATTTTCGCACATTTCGATTTCCGTTATTTACTTTCGTGCAATTTTAATGGGTTTTAGCAATTTACATTGTCGCACATTTCGATTTCCATTATTTACTTTACGTGCAATTTTAATGGGTTTTAGCAATTTACATTGTCAGCACATTTCGATTTCTGTTATTTACTTTATGTGCAATTTTAATGGGTTTTAGCAATTTACATTTCCGCACATTTCGATTTCTTGTCCTTTATTTCTCTTGCAAACTTAATTTCGGTCATTTACGTTTTCATTGTTTAGATTCTTAGTCATTTAAAGTTAATGCCCCTTTGGGGTTTTGGGCCTTCTTGCAATTTAATATTCTCTCTTCTCGATTCAATACTTTCTTGCTTTGTTTGAGATCGAGCATTTTAGACATAAAATACCAAAAACCACGATTTCTTGATATCTTGTAGTTTTCGATTCTCATACGCGTTTTCGATTGAAAATCAAATTGCTAGCCTAAGTAAAAAGAACTTACGTGGTAGAATTTTGATTAGGACCAAAACACCCTTAGAATCGAAATCGATCGAAATTCCACGAGAAACAAATTGGCGCGCCGGGTAGGGGACTTGTGTTGAAAAAACACAAAAGAGGTTAGTTCGAGAGTGTATGAGATTAAGAAGTGGGAGAGTTATAAGAATGAGTCGGAATTCCTCAAGTAGTCGGAATAACGATGAGGGTCTAAGTGGTGTGCTCCCACCAAATGCGGGGGCAAGGGCAAGGGCATAATGGGAGTATACGGTGAGTGTCGACAAGCTGTGAGCACGTCGATACCAATAAGTAATGAACAAAATCCAGGTCCATTGGCAAACACCCATGTAGGAGCTAGTATAGCAATATCAAATAATATGCAAACTATGGGAAACCCCATAACCACATATGCGGGGCCATATACTAGTGTAAGACCACACTGGTTTCTTATCCAATAACATGAATGGAGCTGGCACTTCATCGATACATAGAAATTCACGATTCGGCTTAGGAATGCCTCAAAACGTAGGTACATTTCAAACCCTAGGCATGCCACAAAACTTTGGAGTATCACACATTTAGGAGCATCTCAAAATTCGGTGACATCACAAAATTCGGGGAATGGACCAAACTTAGGGATACAACGAGACACCTCCAGAATCTAGATCCTAGGGGAATCTCGATCATGGGAGATATGCATTTGATAGGGACTATCATCGATCTAATTTCGAGAATATTGAAAATACTAATACGGGGATTTCCGGTAACTCCCTAGGAATACTTAGACAACAAATGGATGAGAGTAATTTTGAAATGGTGAATATGTTATCACGGCGGTTGACTACGGTCTTAAACCCATTAGTTCAAAATACTACTTGCTAGTTTCGAGATATTAGCGGATCAAATGTCTCGAATTGGAGACGCATTGGCTGTACCTCGACAAACGAGGATTGAGAATCATGCCGATCGAATATTAATCCCCCTTATTTATTAAGAAGGAATCGGAACAATGATCAATATCGGCAAATGGGGAACGAATATCAATATGTGAGGAATGATATTTACGGAAATCTGAATGAGGGATTTCAAAATATTCATAATCAGAATAATATGCAATATAATCACATGTTAGGACAAAGGATGAATTTCCAAGGGACGGATGTAAGACCACCCAATCGGACATATTTTGTGTCTCCTTTCCCAAATGCGATTCTCGAGACAGAATTGCCTCGAGGATACAAAGTACCCAAATTCACTAAATTTCTTGGAGAGGTTGGTGAATCAACTATCGAGCATGTAGCTCGATATCGAGATAGAGTGTGGGGACTTAGCGATGAGTGAAGAGTTAAAAATGAAGTATTTCCCTAGTTCCTTGACTAAGAATGCTTTCACTTGGTTTACTTCATTGCCGCCCAATTCGATATATAATTGGTTGCGGTTAGAAAGAAATTTCCATGAACAATTCTTTAGAGGAGAAACTCAAGTAAGTCTCATTGATTTGATGAACATAAAACGATATAATCATGAAAACATAGATGATTATACGAATCGATTTAGACAAATGAAATCAAGATGTTTTACTCAAATTCACGAATACGAATTAGTCGGGATGGCTTACACGGGTTTAGAATTCTCGATTAGGAAAAAGTTGGTAAATTTGCCATTAAATGACAT